GAATACGTTAACAAATACAACTTTCATCTAAGAAGAAATATTTATAATTAAATTTGCTGGGTGCTTCTAGGATTGCTCAGCGTGTATACATAGCAAACAATTAAAAAATTGTCTAAAAGGAAAGGACTCATGTCTAAGTGTAAGCAAAAATAAAACTAAAGATCGTACCTCACACCCTTCAATATATCAACCAAACCAAGCTGTCAAACCAATTCGTTGAATGCAATATCTTACATATGTTTACGACAGAAAGGTAACCGCAGATACAGTAACTTAATGAACAAGTTCTCAAAAACAATAAATAGTTACTGTCGGTAGTATCGACAAGTGACAACTATTTAATTAAAACTTTACAGTGTTCAACATGCTATGATACAAACTTGAAGATTTTGCAATGAGTAGAAGCGATTATTATCAAGCTTCTTTGATGCAAATAGGAGATCAACTTTAATCTTATGTAAAACACAACTTTTAAAAACGTTTGTGTGACATGTAAAAACTTGTGTAATTTAAAAAATATTCAATAAAAATTTGTTTTTCAGTTGGCGATTTGAAAAAAAAAAGATTTAAGAATTTCAGTTTACTTCTGATTCACTTAAGTAAAGTATTAAAATACAATTAGAATTGATCGTCCTCTATGGCCAACGAATATGACGGATGGAATTGATAACTACAAACATCTTTCTTAAGAGTAATATTAAAGAGGATTTCCTTCAAAACAAGTATTACGTGCCAACATGTTATGCGCCTTAGGGCCAGTTGACCTGCTTTTCTTTCCTGAATTTTGCTTTCCTTTCCGGATTAGTATCCACTGCCTTGGTCCACCCACGAACAATCTGCAAGGCAGCACTCTAGAATGCCCTCACGTAACGAGCCTTAGATCTATCTGCCAGGGAGAAAATCTTACGCTTTCCCGCCCGATCAAGCTGTCCCCATACAAACACCTACTTTTCTACTAGTAACTAGTTCTATCCAGTGGCGTCACTAGGCCGGGCGACACCCAGTGCGGTAAATGTGGGTACCACCCCAACCCCTGCATTAATTTATTTCCATTTCGCTTAGTGTCACCCCTTCCCTCTACTATTTTATTATTTTAAATGAATAAACCATTGTTTTCACAGTCATTTTTTATTTCCATTTGGTGTCTCTCCCTTAATCGTGTCACCCGGTTATGATCGCACCCCCGCCCGCCTCGTGACGTTACTAGTTGTGTCATAAGGGACCCCTTACTTCTGATGTATTCAGCTTGTTTCATAGTAATAATGTGTGAGATTATAATAAATCCACACATCTACATTAAAACTTAACAGAGTTGATGTAGGGCTGCAAGTATAAACTGTCTGACTTCTAAAACTTCTAAAATATAACGTCCTATCCCAGTAATTAACGAGCTTAAATTGCTATCCGGACAGCCTTGTAGAGAACTTCCTGTTCTCTAGCCACAGGTTTCATAAACAACTAACGGGCTCTTACATTTAGCTGAACGATTCTTAGATATCTATCTCTGTTACTTGACCGTGGTGCAGTCTACCGTGACCACAGCCTATGAATGTTGACAAGGTGAACAATTCAGAAACGTTTGAAAGGAAGACGACATATTCATAAAGCCGCCCCCTCCCCCACCGACTTGCCATGAAACCTGTCTTATATGAGTGATGTCACATTAATTTCCACGTGTCTTGTCTACACCTGTACGTTTCCTAGCTTACACAATGGTTTCCACAGCCATCCACACAATGTCGTAAAGATGTCTCTTTACTTTCCATGAGCAATGGTAGATAATAAATTGTGTTTTTTATAGTAAGGTTTTGTTCTCTAGCACGGACAACCATTAACTACTACGAAATGGTTTATGCCTTTAATTCGTGAGGTACTGAAAAAGTTGATGTCTATACTTAATGGTTGGAACCGTGCCCCATAGGTTTAGGTATATCATATGTGCAAACAAAATACGCGGAAACAGGCCTATCGTGGCTAGAAGGAACCGGCCATTATGATGAAAGGAACATGGTCATTGTTGGTAAAGGAACATGGTCATCGTCGGTTAAGGAACAAGCCATTATGGATGAAACAGGTCATTGGGAGTGAAAGAAAAATGTCAATGCAGTATGTCCATATAATTTAATACATAGACATATATTTCCTTAGAAAACGGAAATCAATTCAGTATTTTAGATTGCTTAAGTTCGCGGAATTTTTCTAACCTGATTAGAGCTTCAACTATTAGACTTAAACTCTCAAGACTAATAGGCAACATAGGGCACGCCACAAAGTCATGACAAAGAAAACCCACCTCCACCAAAAAGTATTGACAGAAAATATTTTTGATCATTTGGCCATGTTTGTTAAAAGGTTTCTCAGGTTTATGCCTAATCACTCAACTGTCGAAAGCAAAAGATCAAATGCTCCAATGAACGGGTGATTGGCTCCATGATCGATTATTTCAGAAGCGAACCAATCAATGCATCACACGTTCGATCCCGAGGTCTAGAAAATCAAGCATTGTCTCCCATTAAAGCAATGGAAGTCATGCACCGTTTTAATTTACTTTGCATTTTAAAACGTAGCAATTGTTAGAGCTGGTGGCAATAACGCCGTGGTAATAGCAATAAGGACTTTATCAAAAAGACCTATTGTGTTAATAGCAATAAGTTTAACGTAGTGAACATATACGTTTGCAATCGTGTATTAATTTTTATAAACCTTTGTTTCTCTTAAGTATAAAAACTAAATACGGCATTAAAATGCAATAGATTTTTATCACGGAATTTTCTGAAAAGGTTTAAGTGAAATAGGCCCTACTGGTGAATTACAAAGATCGTGATTGGCGATGATTTAGGAGTACTTTGGTAGAAAAACAGAACATGTTCACAGACAAGGCGGAAGGAGGGAAATGAAATTGTGACAGAAACACGATCTCGGGGAAAATCTCGCCAGGGGCTGTTTGATGTCAAGATCTATAGATGAACGCCGACAATGTGGTGACGCAAACGCTAGACACAAAAAACGTCAAGCTTTGTCAGATATAGATACACAACATGTTAATTGTAGACATACAAAAGGGTCATGGTATGTCAGCTATAAACACACAAAATGTTAATTGTAGACATACAAAAAGGGTCATGGTATGTCAGCTATAAACACACAAAATTTTAATTGTAGACATACAAAAGGGTCATGGTATGTCAGCTATAAACACACAAAATGTTAATTGTAGACATACAAAAGGGTCATGGTATGTCAGCTATAAACACACAAAATGTTAATTGTAGATATACAAAAGGGTCATGGTATGTCAGCTATAAACACACAAAATGTTAATTGTAGACATACAAAAGGGTCATGGTATGTCAGCTATAAACACACAAAATGTTAATTGTAGACATAAAAGGGGGTCATGGTTTGTCAGCTATAGACATACTAATTGTAGACAAACAAAAGGGTTATGTTTGTCAGTTATAGACACACAAAACGGTCATGTTGCATCAGTAATAGAAAAAAGGTTATTCTGAGATGTGGAACTTTTACAACACTTATGAGCTTAAGTAAATAAAACTTCTGTGGAAAAGATTTTTTTCACTCTTAACAATATTTAACTTACATGAATCCTTTGTTTATTTTGAAGAGAGAATTTGTGGGTGATGACAATCACTTTATATTTAGCCAATCTCTATGTTTAAAAAGTCAGAGCAATGAGATGTTCTCCAATAGTAAACACCAAATGGGATTGAATGGTCAAATAAATGAGCTTAGTGCTATGGTCACATCCGGCCTTACGGATAAGACAGCTACAATCTGTGATGAGCCACTTGAGAACACAGGACAACAAGAGCATCTCCAATCAAAGAGAGACCATTTAAAGAATAAGATTTGGGCACTTTATTTTAGGAGTGCACTAAAAATAGTGTAACAACCAGGAGAAAATATGGTTTGAAAAGACTTTAACCGCTGGTAAACAGATACATACCAAAGATTAAATATGACCACTGTAATTAAAATTAGTGTTAAAAATGCAACTAGTTCCATTTAATAATAATAAAAAAGGTGAAAATATGCACTCTGAAACAGAGATTTTTTAAAAGAACACTAGAAAACCAAAAATGATTTATGCTAAAATCCTATTATAATTCTTTATCAAAAATAAATATAATTTTAAGTTTTTTTGAGAAATCCAACATACATATACATATGCTTTATAAAAAAAACATTTTCAATTTGTTGTTGAATATTAGCAACAAACTGATAATATGATACCAATAAGCCGAACATAATTTTTTTTTAATCTGAGAGATCATGCAAAACAATTATAAAGACCTGACATCCAAAAGGGCTCATACATCAGAGATTGTTATATAACATAAGTATTCTAACATCCTACAGATTCAAGTTAAAATTGGCTTGTAAATGTAACTAGGATCTTAAATCAAGCATTTTGGGGTGGCTCTCATTAACTCACTTTAAATACCACATGTAATCTTATTTTAGATTATAGTTTACCCATGACTTTCAAGTATACTCCATGATATATAAAAATACATCTTAAAATGTATGGATTTCAACACTTTCAAATAGTAAAACAAAAGTCTAACCAGTGGCATATGACACAATGTGTTAGGTGCCCCCTCCCAAAAGGATCCTAAAAAATGACAGGTGTCTCACATTATCATGTTACAGCTATAGGCAGCGATGCAGTGATATTGCTTTCAATTTCAAAGCTGTTGTCATAAAACCACACATTTCCATTACATACATATATGTATGTGTGTGGTGGAATATATATATATATATATATATATATATATATATATATATATATATATATATATATATATATATATATATATATATATATATATGTGTGTGTGTGTGTGTGTGTATGTGTGTGTGTTTAAGGTCAAATAACCTAAAAGTAAAAAAAAGCATTTTTCTGTACTTAGGGATGACTGATTAAGTACTTGCATGCATTCGAGTAATAGATCAACATAGAAACTTTAACTCACCTGTCTTTAACAAAGAGTTTTTTTTTTAATTGTACTCGCTCGTAGTATAAGTTTATATTGGATCCTTCAAAAGTTTAAAAATGTTCCACTTATTATTATTAAGTATCTTCCTTAAATGGCCAAATGAGCTTCCTATTGCATGGTACGAATAGAAGGGGCAACTGAAGAAATGTTTTCAGAAACTTTTCCTGAAAATAAAAAGTAAAATATGAATATAATTCTTGTATATTAGCATGTTCTCTCTAGGTGTAGAATAATAGTGTAGAAAAGTTGGTTATTCAAACTGTACACAATAAAATTTTGTCAAGCTTTACTGAGGCTTGACAAAACACAAGCTGCTTGTTGGTTACATTACAACAGCATTAGGTGGGTAAAAAAATTTAATTAAAGAGGTAATAAAATCCAGTGAGTATGGCTAGTTCTATTAGAGGAACTGACATAATGAGCAGTTACTGAGCTAATAACAACAGTTACTTGAGTTAACATACTGCTAACAGTTGAGTTTCACTGACACACCCAGTGGTAGATCTAGATAACCAATGTAATAACGTTTTCCGAAGGTAATCCATTAGACTAAATTATTAATTAACAATATGCACAGTATTAATTTTAAATAACATTTAAAAGAAAACTTTTTATTTTGAGAAGTAGGCCTATTTTAAATAATTTTAATATTTGCTACGTCGGTTATCCTGACGAGGCCGATCGTCGCTTCTTCCTTCTGTGTCGTCTGCATCATTTTAGACAAAACGGAGATTTCAAGTTACACTTGCCCTTCACTATCAAAATGTAGTTAATACAAATATAGCAGCCAAAATAGAAATCGTCTCACCCGCATTAATCCATGAATTGAACCAAAATAACTTCAGAGTTGCTATTTTTACTGACAAGCGAGCCGTTTTGAGGTGAAAATCTGCAACTGATTCTATTTTGGGAAAAGGAAAATAGACTACTCAAGTATAAATAAGTTGGATGTAACAGCCAACAGGTAGATTCATCCGCTATGTTTTGATTGTTCATAAGAAACAGTTTCTCATAAAACAAGCTTAAGTTACACTTATTACTTACATAAATATTATGTTTTAAACACTGGGTTTTCACGCTGAGTAGAAATATATTCGAGAAACTATTAGAAGGCTTCACAGTTTTCAGAGCGGATTAACAAAAACTTGTGTTTCTACGTACTGCGCCGATTTGCGTCATTGATGACCTAGTTTGCCAATGAGCACAGGCTGGAAGACTTGCTGAACTAAGATACTCGTCTGGCCTGAAACCAAGGCACTTGTGTTGCTATCGATCATGCCAGAATCGATTATAGCAAGGATGCGAAGGTATACACCAATGTGGAACGTGATGATGGTTATTGCTCTGTCTGTTTAACAACAATCAGAGACTCCTTCTCTGTGAGAATGTAGTATTATTACGTACAGAAATCCCGATTTATGGAGATGAATCGAAGAAGATAGGCAGAATTACACACCCAACCAAAAATCTATTTTAAAAATATAAACTATTACTGAATGCAGGTTTTCTAGAACACTTTACACTCCATCTCAACGCACACTTGTATGCATTTTTACTTTTATCGACTGTTTTTTAACCTACTTTTATCATCGGGCCATCGTTACCAATTAATCTAGATAGAAAACCTCAAGGCAAGTAATTAACAATTATTTTCACACCATGTAAGAAGTTTGATTTTACCCAACAGGGATAATTATTTTTATTTAAAGTATAATCTTAGAGAGACAGATGAGATAAACAGCATTGTATATGGGGCCTATATTATAACTAGGACAATATATATTTTTATATAGGCTATAACTATATATATATATATATATATATATATATATATATATATATATATATATATATATATATATATATATATGCTTAATATATTATAGACTATTTAGATATGTATTTTAAAGTAAGTGTGGTGACGTCTTTAATTGACGTCTCGCTTTTAGGGACATTGTAACCCCGTCCCGTCTAAATCGTCACAAAACTTGAATAACTATAAACTGCAGAGATGTGTCACACACAATTAAGAAATATAGATTAAAAAGTCTTAAAAATAATCTGAAGTTTGACGTCCGACTTTCTGAACCTCACTCCGGTGGCGTCACTTGTCACCCGACACGGTAACAGACGGTGTCACCCAACCCCCTCCGACATTTGTTTTTTTGGTTAGGTTTACCCCCCTCTACAACTTTATTTGTTACAACTGGATTTTAAAAAATGGTTTGAAAGTAAATTGTACGACTTTTCGTGGTGCTGTCACACCTTCAATTGCGTCACCCGGTTTGGACCGTACCCCCACACAACCTTGTGACGCTATTGCCTCCCCCTTAATATCACACACCTTCACAAAAGTCTGACCCCCTCCTCCCTTTCTATTAGGAGAGTGACGTCATTAATGTAGACTTCGTCGGTATATGATAGGCATATACCCCCACTTACACAAGGGCACCATATTCGATGACATGAGTTCTAAAATACTTGCTAAAAAAACAACTGATTTTAAACCTGAGTGAAATTGGCTTATTTTACTGCCTCGAGAGATTTCAAAAATCTGGATGACAGTTCTTTATTTTGAAACAAAACGATACAAATTGGAAAACCCAAAGAAGCTGAGGATCACGGGATCACGATATAAAAGCTTGTCAAATAAACAAAACAAACAAGAATTAACAGATTTACTTTTTAAGACATCGCCAGAGGAAGAAAGGGGGGGGGGGTCATCCATAGATGACGTCATGCCTTTTGTCGATTTTTACAGCCCACCCCCCTTACCCACCGTCACACAAAAGCTAGACCCGCCCTAAAATGACGTCACACCTTAGTCTACAACCCCCTCCCATCATAATTGTAGTTTTATTTTTTTAAACATCGATTTCTCTCTCAAATATTTACTGACTTCCGTCAACATTGACTATGTTGATCAATTTCTAATACAATTTACAAAAACAGTTTTCTCAAACGCGAACTTACGGCTAAAATTCATTTTCTAACACAACTTTTGAAAAATACAACAGTGTGACTTCACACTTTCTGATCCCCACCCCCTCTTCTCATTCTCACACATCGTCACAAAATTCCGACCCCCCCCCCTCCCGCTACGTGTAACGTAGTTTATTGGCAACACCAAATCAATTCATCTCAATTTTATATGGTTAAGTTGAATGGATAAGTATGCAATACCTATAATCAAAGACAAAAAACAACGAAGCAGCTAAAATTTCCGGGGGGGGGGGGGGGGGCGGTATCAGACACTGATAAAAGTATTTATTTTCTATATACATTCTATTTCGTTCGAAAAGATGCCTAAAAGAAACTGCATGTGAAGAAGATTCTGTTTCCGTTGCCTCGGCATCAGTAGATAGATATGAACTGTCCTTTCCTTTCTCTGGACATTGGTCAGGCAACCCCCGAACTAGGGACGTCTTCCTTTGAATCCTTTCAAGTGTGAGAATCCAGGAAAGGACAAATGAAAACATGCCGAGAATGTATGGAGCACTGAGCAGACCTGCGCCATACACGATGGCCATTTCAACACCAGCTGCTTAAAGTTGACGTAAGGGTTGGGAGAAGTGGAAATTTCCTCTGTTCTTGGCAGCCATACTGACAAAAAGGTAAACCAAGCACAGAAAACAACAAACATTTAGCCTATGTATTGCGCGATATGATTGATGGATCAAAAGTTACAAAAACTAAACGAGATTTATTGTTATTTAATTTTGAAAAAAAAAGGAACTTGTCCGTATAAGCCCCGCCACTAATGCAAAAACTGCACGAGCGAAAAGTTAAGCCCCGCCACTGTAACCTATTTCTGAGGTGTAGACATTTGAATATTTTAATGCATGCCATAATACAACATCTTATTCGCCTCTAGGGTTAGGTTTAGGGTTAAAGGTACCAAAAAAAACCCCAGATATTTTAAGCTTGTTATTAATGACATGTCCCAATTTCACCCTCTTCAATAAAATATATAAGTACAAGTTTCATATTTGAATAATTGTTTTTCGGGTGGCGGGGTTAGTTTTTAGGCGGGGCTTCTCTGCACAAGATCAAAAACAGTAACGTGTAATTTTTTATTTTTTATTTTTAATAAAACATTTTTTAGAATCCACTGGTTAGTATAAGACTTTGTAGTTTGTAAAGCGCGTATCTCACTAGTTACAAAAAACAACAAAACAAAAAAATTCATTTCAGATACGAGTCATTTATCGAAATCGAAATGTATTTATGCCTCCTTTGGTTTTGAAACGAGAGACCACATTTTGTGCTATCTTGTGCATTCGAAAGGCAGATAACCGCATCATACATAATTGAAAGATTGAAGTCACGATGATAATTCAAGACATAGCTGCACTAATGATAGGTCTATCACTTGCACTTAGAATACACTGATATATTTTCATTCCTTGTTGTCGTTTTACAAAACCAATAATTCCTTGCTGTTTTTTTTTTCTTTAAAAGGTATTCATTAAAATGTTTCTTTCGTTGGACTAGATGCCAGAGTTTCTTCCAGGCATCTCTTCGGGAGGGGGGGGGGGGGGGGGGGGCGAACCCCGAAATTTTTTTACCGCCCCCCCCCCCCCCGAACGAAATGAAATTTATATAATTTATATAGAAAATATATACTTTTAACAGTGTCCGCCCCCCCCCCCCCCCGAAGAAAGTCTACCGCCCCCCCCCCCCCCCCCCCGAAAATTTCAAGTGCCCCCCCTGGAGAAAAAAGTCTGGAAGAAACACTGCTAGATGCTATCATTAATTATTTAAATATATAGTTCATATTATCAACGATTATGTCTCCACTCTACTAGTTGTAAGCTTACATAAAATAATAGTAAATTAGCAATTAAAAAAATATCTATATAGCCTATATTTAAAAAATAAACCGGTAGTGATCTCCCCTAAACTTTCTCGAATATTCTTATATAAAACAACAGGGGATGGTAACTGGGGATATAGTTATGATTTTTAATCCATTTTAAATACTTAAACTTTTAAAAATAGAATAGAATCTCATAAAAAAAAACATTGCGCACCAAGCAAACGCCGAATAAAAACGCGTATAATAGTGCGCAATATTATTAGTACTTTAAAAATTTACATTAGTTTTTTGAGAAATCGGAAGTAGCGTAAATTACTACTTCCAGTCAACGGAAATTACTCAAAATTTTACAGAAGGTAGAGAATTAGATCTTTTACTTACATGTGAAATTTCATTTATCTATCTGAAATAGTACTCAAGTTATAGGCTTTTGAAAAATTCAAAGTAGGAAAAGTACCACTTCCGGTTATCGGAAATCGCTCAAAAGTTGATACGGATCTACGATTTTGATAAAATACTTATATATGAAATTTCATCAACCTAGCTGTAACGGTACTCAAGTTATCGTGTTTACACACGGACAGACACACACACAGACACACACACAGACATACGGACAGAATTGCAAAGCCCGGTTTTTCAGACTGGATTACGCATAAAACCTCTTAGTTTTGATAAATCTGGATTGATAATTTTTGCCCGATTAAAATAAGTCCTCTAAACTTCGGATGTGATGAAGGACTGAGGTGTAATACGGTGAAAATTGTTAAAATTTCAAGTGATTTTTGTGCACGATTACAATACTTTCTCTATACTTCGTATATACGAGAAAGTAAAAATATACGGTACTTAAAGTTAGCATAGGCTAGCATAGGCCTAAAGCTTGTATTTCCCGCGTTTTTTTTTTAAATTTAATTTTTAATTAAAAAAAGGCTAATAGATCTAGGTGCTCAGATCTACAGTCTACACGTTAAATGTTCAAAGATCTAATTTTCTCTCCAACTTTAGATTTCTACATTAGATTTTCTTGTAGCTAAATTTACGATACGAGCCCAATTTAAGAAACAATTACAATAATTATAGCTTTTAAAAGTAAAATCAAACTAAGTGACATAGGCCATAGATGGGATTTGTAGTGCAACTAGATGAACTAGACCGCTGATTGCGAGTGAATTAAAAACCAAACGCGGGGATCTTTAATTTTCCCCTTCTCCCAGACACTATCAGGAAATGAGAATATTTCCAACCGAAAATGACCATTTCTATATTCATCACTGACTTGTGGTGCTGAAAAAAAGGAAGGATATGGGCAGGATAAATTAAGAATCCTACGCTCTCTATTGCATTTCCGACCCCCAGCAGGACGCTCGAATATTGATGTTGTGGAGCTTCACGCAATGCGATGTTATGAGGATGTGGCGTGGTGTCCTTCAAGTCAGAATGTCGCGCTGACGTCACGTTGCCATGGCGACAAAGGGATTCCAGCCGTGAAGTGATAATTAGTGGCGAATGACGTCACGTAGAATATTAGATCAGGCGGATAACATTGTTTACTTTTAGCCTCTTGTAATTTAAAATAAACCTGTTTTTTTTCCTTTTGGTAACTAAAAATGTTAATGTTTCCAATGCCAAATGGAGTGTAGTTCAACATCGAGTAAATAGAATAAGCGTCCTAAATCACCCTATATGATGACCCTTAATAATAGTCAATTAACAAATAAACCTGTCAACACAAATTACTAGTGTTCAGTTATAAAGCTAAACCAAAACTTAAAGTCACTAGTGTTCATTATTTGTTTATATTTGCTTAAATCCCCAGCTCCCATTTTATTTACAAAAGACAAGTAATTAGGCGTTTAACTTAAAGGAGGAAAAATAAAATCTAAATCATGAATTTTTTAGCACTACCATTCAATAAAAGTGACACAACAATGTGGTATAGTTATATAAAACACATTTTTTAATTTATATTTCTACACTATAATAATACAGTGAACAGTTTAAAGTTTCTTATATGTAACAATATACATACAAAGATTATAAACAGTTATTTGAATAATGCAAATATATATCGTACAGCAGTAATGTCAAAACAGATTATGAAAACAATGTATTGCTGTTTATAATGTATATTTACAATGAATCAAGACCAATTCAGCAAATATGTACACACATTTTCACACACTATATACATATTATGTTGTCATTGTAACATGACATGCAGGTACCGCAAGGCCAAATGACATCAAAATTGTAATCAATTGTGATAAACAAATCTTATCATACAGTAAAGATCAATTGATAACAATCAGTTTTAGAAAAAAGTTTCAGCTTTTTAACAGTGAATTGTTTTAGAAAAAAATAACAAAAAGAAGTTATAAACAAAACATGGTTAATACATCCTGATATAAAGTGCCGAGAGCATTCCTCCAGTTTAAACTTGCAATCACAGAGTGTCAGAAAGCCACCTTATTATTGTAAGGATAGGAACATTCTACAAGTGATGCAGCATTCAAGTAACAAAGAATAGTTGGCTTGGAATGATACAAATTGTTTTAACCAACTTTTTATCTGATGAAAATGTTCAATTATAAAGAATTTTTTTAATCCCAGATATGTTTTTCTATTTGTTACCACCACACCATCCATGCCAAGTTTTTAGCTAAATATTTTTGTTCTTGTTTTGTTAATTACATGGAATTCCATGAGGACACTGTAAACTTATTGTGATCTATACAAACACATCTGCCTTTAGTTTTAAATTAGCATGAAATAAAAATCTTGAATTACATTAAAAAACCCCAACTAATACTGAATTTAAAGAGAAAGAAAACATAGCCATATCAATATTATTCTAACATTTATGTATATTTTGTAAGATGAATAGCGGAAATATGCCTAAAAATATAAAATCTATAAGTTTTATGTAGTCCTTAGAGAAGTAAAAATACAAGCTAGTTATGGAAAATTAAATCAACTACCAAAATTTGTGTCAAAAAAAAAAAAAACAAGTTAGAAAAGGTCTTTACATTTCTGACAAGCTTATAATCAATGTAACACTAAAGTGGTGAGCAATAAACATTTTTATAAAAAAAAAAAAGAATAAAACTTACTAAATCCGAACAATTACATTTTATAATTATTTCAATAATATAATTTGAACTTAAAGTTTTTGTAATTCTTTAAATAAACTACCTTTAAAAGCAAAAATAGTAAAATAAACAATTTGAAAATTATAATGGACATGGTTAGGAGATGATTTTACCTGTACAGAGCATCTTGCTAACGTAAGATTACAAATGTGCAGTAAAATCCATAAGTGATTCATAAACCAGTGACTGTAAATTTCCACAAGAAACAAATATTTGATACGAAAAAAAATTAGGATCACAGGGACCAAAAAACTATTTTGTGATATGCTTTCAGCACAAGGGGAGACTATCGACATGTTTGTTACACAAGTCTCACTAAGGACAAGCAATTAAAGATATGCGCAGAGCATTCTTTTTCTACAAAATGTAATAAAAGATACAGGAGTTTTAAATTTTCTTGTAATATACAAGCATCAGATCAGTCAAACAAAATATTTACAGGAAAAAAATAATGAAAACAATTAACCAAGGGTGTCAAATTAATGTGGTACCTGGTGAATTATGTGGTATTTATTTGTTGAACAAAGTAACATGCAAGAATTGTGCTTAGAAGCATCAGTATGTTGAGTGCACAATCAGGTGGTATCAAGATAAATGAATGTATCTAATTTACTAAATAGCTACCAGCTAAAATACAGTATTTTCCTTAAAGAATACTTTACGAAGTTGAAAAATCTGTGCAATTAAAAAGTTAATACTTCAACAAGATATTTATACTCCCAGTAATAAGACTTGTCAGAATAACACTGGTGTCATATCACTAACTACATTTAATATTGAAGAAAGGCCCTCTAGTCACCGGACAATATCACAGTGTTACCTTACTCAAGTCTCTCAACTCAAATATTATTTGTAGTAACTTCATCTTTCTTCTGCTTTAACTAGATTTTTAATATTCATGTTCATTTGAATGTGTTGTTCCAACATAAAAAATTTCATTGATAGTAGCTCTTCTTTTTTAAGTATAAAAAACAACATGAGTACAAGTCAAATATGTTTTAAATATATTCCAAAGCACTAAACTTCACCTTAAGTATAAATTAAACCAAGGTAGATGAAAATTTAAAATTCCCACAATAGCATGAGCAACTGTATATGTATTAAAACAATACGTAAACATATTTTACATTTGGTATTAAAATAGCTTTATAATGATATGAAAATTCAGCATTGAAAGATTTGAATACACTGTTACATTTTAAAGTTAAAAAAAAACAAACAACCCACACAAAAACAGTATTAAGATCAGCTAAGCATTGTTTGTTTCTGGTTTGTAACCTTTTTTTAAAACAGTATATTAATAAAAAAAAAATTGACTATGATAGTTAGAATTTCAATGTTGATGAAAAAGCTATATTTCTGAAAGCTGGAAATAATATATATAAAATTACAAATCTAAGAAAAGTTCTGTCAACATACAAAAAATTTTCTATTGGTATTATGTATAATACAATGTTAAATTTATAAATGTCAACCATCATTATCCAATCGAGATCTTTTTTCATTAGGCTCATCTGACATGCGCGACGCAGGTGATTGCTGATTAGGGGGAGGTGTGTGGCCCAGGTGCTCACTCTTGAGAGGAGACCCTGGTTCTTGTTTTATAAGATTACTTTTATGGCTACTCATAGAGACAGTTATTGGTGCCGGATTCATAGTCATTGTTCCACTGAAAAAAAAAGAAGCATTAAGTCAAAGTTTGTAGCTAGCTTTTTGTGATAGTCTTTTACGGTGACAAACAATCAAGCTTTATGTTTTTTTACTAAGGCTTTTAAGTTTTTTCATACATAGCTACCTTAACGGTTAAATATACTACACTAAAATGAAAAACATTTTGATCATTTTTTTTGTCTCCAGAAAAACAAATTGAGAGGTGACACAGGATGTAATTAGTAAAGTCTAGTAAAAAGTTTTTGTTTTTAATGTAAATTAAATACAATAGTTCATGGTAATTTGAAATGTTACTCACCCTGGAGTAAATGTTACACCTGAAGCTTGTAAGGCTGCTGTGAGTGGACCTGGACCTTGACTGCTCAACTGATAAACTAAGGGAGACAATCCTGCTATATCTGCACTATTGAGGAGATCTAAAAAGGTAATTAAATTCACGGTAAGTAAAAATACGAGACTATTAAAACAATAATAATCTTATGAGCTAAATAGAATGGTACTATTTAAAAGATCTTTTCCTACTGAAAATGTTAAAAGATATATTCATGTTTTCTGCCTCATCTTATACTTATCTGCAGTAACCATGATTTACAAACTTAACTATGTGTATGCAAAAATCTCACCAAAAAATTGGCCATTACCTCCAGCTAAAATAGCTTGTATAGCCCCTTGATTTCCTTGATTGGGAGTTGCAATAGATACATTAGGTGTGTCTAGCGCCGTTCCTGGTGGCCTAGATTGCTAATATTTAAATGTAAAAAAAAAGGTCAACTACACATAAATATGCGTAATAAAATATTTCACAATATTTTTAAACCAAAGAAAAGAAATTTAAATGACTACATACCTGAACAGCAGGTGCTCTTTCAGGTATCAGCACCTTTAAACCAGGTCGTTTTCCTGCAGTAACAGTCAGTGCCTGATTAGATGTAGAGGCCGCAACGGCAGTGGAGAAATCTGTGACGTGATGTAAGGCAACTGGTACAGGCTGAGAAGTACTGGCTGGCTGAGTGGTTTGATTGTTAGACAACAGAGAAGCACTCACTGGCGCTGGGCTTACTCGACTTCCTGAACAGGAAAACAAAAAAAAACAACTGTTATAGTATTTTTCTAGATGTTATTATTTTATTTTCCATATCCTAAAATGTCCACACACTTAAAAACTATTTTTTAAAAGATTGGCAACACACGTTCCTAGTATTAATCAGCATTCTTTAGCAGTAAAAATAGTAACACTAAAATAACAAATCAGACATTACCTGATGAAGTGGAAACTGAATGTGCTAAAGCGGTGGATGGCTGGAGAACTATAACTGATCCACCACCCATATTTGCTGGTGTTGCTGTGAACTGGCTTGTGGGTACTTGAACTGGTAGCTGGTAAACCTGCTGTTGCTAAAAATAATAAAATAAATATACTGCTGGTCAATACTATGGGGTATCTCCCTACTTATTCTAATATCAGAAATGACCATTTAATCTAGGATAACCCTTTACAGTCGCCCAAACTATATATAGTTTACTTGTGTGTAGTAACGGAAGTCTCTGTAATGAGATTATAAATATACTGGCGGAAGCGGAAAATAATTTGTTTTATTTACATTGTTTTCTTGTTGTTCATTTTCTACAATTTTTCTAATGTTAAGAATTTTTTTCTTGAATTTATGGGCAATATAATTAATGTTATTAAATCAAATTAAAATGTCTATGCAGTTGATTTGAGCTTTATTTATATTGTAACTAATACAGTGATATAAAAAAAAGAAAGCAACTTTAGTGAATGTATTGAGTATTGTTTTTAGCATTTAAAAATACATTTTAGAATTAGTGTTTTGTTCACATCTTTTTTTTGGGGACTTATGTAGTTTTTATTTTTTTATTAGTAAACTATTTTTAAATTTTCCTAATACATAATTAATTCAGACAAATTTTGTGTACAATGCTTTTGATTTTATTTTTTTTTAACATAAGTGGTTAATTGAAAGTAATAAAAAAAAAAGTGCCTCATCGCGACCAGCCGTAAGAGAAGTAAAATAGTTTTCATGGGAAATGGATAAGAAATGAGATCTAAAGCAGTGAAATTCCATTACCTTAACCCCACCACCATCATTCATTGCTCTGGCAAAAGCAGCATCAATTTTACGGTAGTTTTCATCAGTCCGAGGAGAAATGGGAAACTCATCATCATCACCATCCATATCACCACTTTTGTTCTCTTTTTTACTCAGCATCTGTAACAAGATAGCACAAATAATAAAACAACAGCAGCTTTAACTGCATTAAGACAATCTTCATGAGCTCTTTCTATTTATTGTGTAATGTCACCAATACCTACATCAACTATATCTTTGTTGGTCTGGCTAACTACAGAATCATTGTACTCTGTGTATTTAAGCAGCACCTTGTCCATGTCAGAGCTGGCATACTGATACAACTTGTTATTGCTAGTGAATATAATCAAAGCTATTTCGCAGTCACATAGGACACTCAATTCATAGGCCTTCTTCATCAGACCAAACTTTCTTTTTGTAAATGTCACCTAGACAAAATAGATAAAGTTATTTTGTTTAAGAAAGCAGGTTGTCAAACATTAATTATATTTAAATGGACAAGCTACAAATATCATGTTCAAATTACAATTGCAAAATTTCACATACCTGTCGATTTCTTTCATCATTGATACGAGCTATTTGAATCTTCTTACGACCCATTGTTATTTGAAGTAATTAATAAACAGTCTGAAAAGCATACATACCATATACAGTTATACAGTTAAGTGATACCATTGTTCATTAATATCATAAATTAAGACAACATAATTATAAGAAGACATAAGTAAACTCAACAGAATTTTTATTACCAAAAATAAATTTCTTCAGTCTAAATAACTAAAGGTAAATAAAATATAAATGTTTCCTTTCTGAAGACTAAAATATATACATATATAAATATTTCATCTTGATTTAGACATCAATGATTAAAGGAGTAGTGGATAAATTATTAATTAATTAAAAATGATAATAGAAGAGTACAATTACTAATAACATCATATCATGATACTTGCTTTAAAATACCTGAAGTCCAAGCCATATCAGATAAGCTTAAACAAATAAGTTCCCTTTTGAACCTGTCGGTCCATGGGGCTAGTGCAGTAGAGTTCATGTGTTTCTGTGACCTCAGCATATTAGGGGATAGTGTGGTCAGCTCTATCCCAGCTGCCCTAATGCGAGTTAGGTGGGCCAGATTCATACTCCAGACTTTCAGGTTGGCAGTCTAGCTCTCTACTGCTAGACCACGCCGGCCCATTTAAAGTTGAAACATGGGTATAGAGATACTCAGATAATCATGGATTTTTTTATAGATACGATAACTAAGGGATCAACCATATAACCTGAGTACTTTTTTTTAAATCACGAGCTATAATAAAGTAAATAAATAACCATTTAGGATCTGGTGGCTCTTGGAGCAGATGAAGTCAAGTTCATATGTTTTAAGGCCTCCACATATAAAGGGATAGTGTGATCAGTTTTAAGCTCATTAAATACTAAAAGCAAAGCCATTACAAATTTTTTAGTCCATTAAAAAAAAATGTAGTTATTAAAACTTAAAATGAAGTTAAAAGTTATGTGAAAATTCAAGAGTGCTCAAAATATAGGCCTACAGATTCTGAAACCGGCAAAGATACAGTGCCAGCTGAAGAAGAAATGAGAAGATAACATTTTGGAATGGCCAGGTTCAACCCTGGTAGAAGACAATCTGAAGGACACTAGTAGTTAGTAGCGCTACAAATTAGAGTTTGGAGCAGAAGAAGGAAGATAACTGAGCTAATTATGTTCTGGCCTATTTAAATTAAGTCTTATTAGTTTAAAATAGGCCTAATTATAATTAACAAATAATTGGACAGACAGTCTCAATGATTTAGGAACTCTGGTGATTTGTACCCATTATAAGTGGGTGTTAAGAAAGGATCAGTAAGTTTTTTTGTAGTACCCCTACAATAAATTTGGAAGCATAGTAGGACTACAGGACTGTACAGTAACTGCTTTATAATTGAGTTCATAGTATAGTATAGGCTATATCTATATGAAAATGAATTTATAATAATTTGCATATGGGCCTAGTATTTATTTAAATTATTAACCACAGTGTAAAATAGTGTAGTGTAATGCTTAGCATTACAGTGTCACTTCACCTTACACACTGGAAGTTATTTTCATTCACATGCTTGTTAATATGAAATTAATGATGCTAAAAAATCAAATCAAAGGCTCATATTAAGATGGTTTTGGATTTCTTTAAATAATGATGTTTCAAAATAGTATTTTGAATTTTAAAATGCTTTTGAAATGTAGTGAACATAGTGACAAATCTCAATCTAGATCTAGTCTAGTTCAAGTCTTGTGTTATGTGTAGTTTTAGTAGTGTGTGGTTAAAAAATTAAAAGAGAAGGCAGTAAATTTGACCCAACAAATTAAAGTTAAAGTGAAGTCGATTTGTTACTCGGGGAGCTCTTATTACTTTAGTATTTCACTTAACGCTTAAAAATAGAGTACATCTCCATCTCTGATTCATGATTTAAATATAATCATAACCAAAAGCTTTTTACAAAAGTGCCCTCGATTCTTGGGTTGGGAGATTTCCCTAAGTTTATTTTCTGGCTCAGGGCAAGTGATACCACTGACTAGAACTCTTCACCGCCTTAGATCCGGCTGAACAGTATTTGAGTATGAACTTTCCAAGGTTGACTTCATCCATTTCAACTATATTTTGAATATATGAAAGTAATCTAAGCTGTTTATAATTAATGTTACTTAGAAACAGATAACTTACAAATATTCTTACCAAAACAAAGCCACGAGAGGAATAAAAATATCCAAGCCTATCTATTTTTACTGTCCAGTAAAATGTAGAGGCAGGACCGCGATCTAACTTCACTTGATCTATTTTAGGCAATGGAAATTACTCCGATATTTTTAGTTCATTTGCAACACTTGTTTAATTTGCAAATTATATGGAAAACGATATGTTAATATTATAAAATGCATTAAACTATGTAATAATTATCTTAAATAATAGACTTTTACAAAAATATCGTCTTGAAAAGTCATTTTAAGTTAGAACTAATTTTTTCCGCATAAGTGTTTTACACGAGCTTCATACCATATTAATGCGCTCCAAAAATACGCTTTTGGGAAGATTTTTTATTAAAACTTCAGTGTTTCGATTTTTTGAGTTATAAAGTCAGATTCTATTATTTATTTGAAGAGCAGTTAACTGAAAAATATAAGATATTTTGACTCAAAATCACACGGATTACGTTTTTAAAATAGTACCTCAATGATAATTTAGCTATGACATCAGAAGTCACGTGTCATGATGCCGTCAGCAGGATAGCGTCAAGGAAGGGGGAGCATTCAGGTTATTTATGTTTTGGCTGCTAACGTCGTCGTAAAGTAAAAAACTATTTGAATTTTAGGTTGACTTAACCTAAAAAAAAATAGGTCGAATTACCGAGGAATCTGACCTAAGCTTGAAGATACATCTAAAATTAAAAAAGAAATCTCCATGAAAAAACTAATAAGAGGAAAAAATATTAAATTTTAAAGCCATTATGTAATTAATTTCTACACAATCAATATGTGCATTAACATTTAAAATTTAAATTCATGGTACAAAACTTGATTAAATCAATTAGCCTACGCTCATTTGTTGCCTGCAGGTGGGGGCAGTGGCCCAGAAAGTTAAAAAAAATATTAGAAAGCTTATTAAATAAATTTAGTGAGTAAAAGAGCTAAAATTCTTAAAAAAAAAAAAAAACCTAATCGCCCTGAGTCACTTATAGATCACAGTAGTGGTCTTGAAAAACATTTTCTAAATTTGGACTTCTCATATTTTGTCATCATCTTATTCTTCAACAGTAAATAAATGCACACGATGACCCGAATAGAGTAGGATTACCTACTTTTATTTTATGGGCTTTCAGCCTTTCATTACGATGTTATTTGTTTAAGAATTTTTTTAGCATGTGGCTTCAAACTCATCTGGCACTGCGTTGCAATTTAAACAAATGATTTGATTTTATGTCAGGTGGATAAATAATGTGGAAACACAACTACAGTAGACATCGAGATAGTAGTCAGGTCTGAGTAGTCAGTAGAAGAAAGTGGCGAAGCAAGCCAAAACACTTCTTTAGAGCCACCGAGGTGAATGGATACAGTTTACTTATTTGGGTAATACATTCGTTAAACAATATTCTGCTTATATTTTTAACGTATAAACAAATCATAAATATAATTTATTTCCAAAAATTAAATTAAAAAATAACATAAAATATAGACACGGAAACATAACTCTTCTCAAAATTTTTTTATTTTAGTTGCCTCCCCTTAACCAAAAATTTCGTTGTTGTAAAAATGATTTCAGTGAGTGTTGCAACGTATCTACACATGTAAACGGAACAAAACCAAAACGACGTGACAATATTAAACATTTATCGGCGTTAAGGGGTAGGCAACAAACTAATTTTAACAACAGGTGATCACCACATAAGGAAAAATGGGTGTAGGGTGTGAAGAGAACGAGGGAAAGATAGAATGAACTTAAGTTCCTTAGACTCGAATTTTAATTCACAAATTAATACAGAGAGTTTAAAATATAATATAATTCTAATAAAAAAATAACGAGAGAATGTATTATTTTCTCTAATTTGTCTGGTGGATATTTGGTCTTTCTTGATTTGCAATACTTGTTTTTTTAATGATTTAAGTAGATTCTTCTCGTTTCTGTGCCAATTAGTTTCCACATAAAATTTTGTAGTTAACTTAACTATGAGGAACCAAAGTATCCCTACCTAATGCAGAGACGTAGCGGGGGGGGGGGGGGGGGGAAGGGGGGGGGTACCCTATGGGCGCCAATATGGGTTGAAAAAAATAATTAAAAGCTTATTTTAGCTGCATCTCTGAATTATAAATATAGAAAAAATATAGGGGGGGGGGGGGGGGGGGAAAGAGGGGAAGGCGCCAAATTGAAGTTTGGCGCCAGTGGCGGAACCAGAAAAAAAGGACCACCCCGCAAATAAAATTTCTGGCCCCCCCCCCTATCTTTCACACTACAGCCGAGGCATATATTTTTTTTTACGCAACAGCATGCGTTCGCTACTGTATAACATCACTACTGTAGTAGATCTGTTTGTTATTTACAACAGCTTATATTTATATCGTCAAGTCAAGAATGCAAGAAAATTATATTTTTTTAAAACCATAAAAAATGTATTATGGTCGGCTATGGGCCCTAAATGGAGTGAGCCCCCCGCATTGCGGGGTCTGGCGGCATTGTAGTTCCGCCCCTGTTTAGCGCCGGCAGAGGTCACTACGCCTCTGACCTAATGGACACCAACAAAATCGTGTAGGCCCTACTACGATGTTTGAAATAAATATGGTTATAAAAACCTGAATGGTTTTTATAGGATTTTACAAAAAATTTGATGTGGTCTTATTTGACGTATTTAGTATTTTCGGTAACTAAACCAAATAAAAAACTAAAGACAAAACAATTTGGTTGTTTATATTTTATCACTGAAAATTCACATAAACATGGCATTACTAGGAAAAGTCGATTGTGGTTAAAAAAAGCATAATGTTATTTAAAATCTGTATCGGCAAAGTTTAGAGTAGAAATTATTAGAGAGTGGGGTTTTTCAGAGGATCGATCACAGAGTTCCTGTACACCCAATCAATGCTTTGTCTCACAAAGGTGACACGTAGGTTATAATTTAGACTTGATGAAAATAAATTTGGATGTAACCATACATTAAAAAATTATTTTCGCGCAAGTGGCTTTCGGGCATTTATCGCATTCGGGCATTTGTCGCATTCAGGCATTTGTCGCATTTCGTCATTAGTCGAATTCGGGAAAGTGTCCATTCGGGCATTTGTCGCATTTCGGGCAAGGGTCCATTCGGGCATTTGTCACATTCGGGCAAGTGTCCATTCGGGCATTTGTCGCATTTCGGGCAAGTGTCCATTCGGGCATGTGTCCATTCGGGTGTTTGTCACTTTCGGGCAAATGTCCATTTGGGAAATCAGCTTTTGGGGCTAGTGTCTTTGAGGCATTTGTCACATTCGGGCATGTGTCCATTTGATATTTGTCGCATTCGGACAAGTGTCCATACGGGCAAACGGCATTCGGACAAGTGTCTTTGAGGCATTTGTCATAGACCCTTACTTCCTGTGTTCCAATGAACTTATGGAACTAATCTACACTTGGACAGCAGTATCGACTAGATCTAACCCTCGGTCCACTGAGACCAGAGGAGGTCAAAAGATTGTTAGTCCTGATCTGTACAGATTTACATGGGCCTTAAGTATATTATTTTTTAATTTATATTTTACATTTATGTGACCTTAATGTGGCCATGATGTGATAATGACATGAACATAATGTGAGCATAATGTGACCATGATGTGACCATAATGTGACCATGATGTGACCATAATGTGACCACGATGTGACCATGATGTGACTATAATGTGACCATAATGTGACCATGATGTGACCATGATGTGACCATGATGTGACCATAATGTGACCATGATGTGACCATGATGTGACCACGATGTGACCATGATGTGACTATAATGTGACCATAATATGACCATGATGTGACCATGATGTGACCATAATGTGACCATAATGTGACCATAATATGACCATGATGTGACCATGATGTGACCATAATGTGACCATGATGTGACCATGATGTGACCATGATGTGACCATAATGAGACCATGGGGTTATCATGATGTGGCCATCGTAAAACAAAGTAAAAACAACCACAGCAAACCAAGCCTAATACTGAAGTCTAAAAATGACGTTGGAGCTCACTTTACGCAATGCTACCAACTCTTAAATAGGCCTACATAAGTTAACATAAAACTATAGAGTGACACTATCAGTATGTCTGTTTCTCTATGACCATAAGTTAACATAAAACTATAGACTGACACTATCCATATGTCTGTTTCTCTATGACCATAAGTTAACATAAAACTATAGACTGACAATATCCATATGTCTGTTTTTAATATAAATCTATAGAGTGACTATATCTTTATGTCCGTTTCATTATATGACCATGATGTCAAGTATAAGACAATACGATCACCCCCCCCCCCCCCCACATCCGGCCATTTACTCTCTACATCCCCCCACCCACCACTTCCCATAACGAACCCGATTTTTTCCCCTCTTCCCTATACATAAAATCCCCCAAAGCCCGGACGACTTGGAGCTTCCGAGGTCCGAATGTAGCCAGTATAATACCATTTCATGCATAGTAAGGAGTGCGGCGCTCGGCCGCTGCATAAATCTATGGAGCTGAAGCGATGTGGCGACTAACGTATCTTCTCAAGCGCACCTTCTATTATTCTCCTTCCACAGTGCTTCTTTCAGTAAGTTTCACTTTAAAAAAGGACATCTATCTTCCTATGAAAAAGTTTGACCTTTGAACTGTATGCCCAAAAGTTGACCATCTACTTTAGGTATTGAGTTGTGAACTTATCATTGGAAGTCAAATTAGTATTTTTAAAAAAAATAGGATTGTCTTTGATTGTTTGTAGATAAATTAGCTAATTAACGGGAATCCGATAAAATGGAACCCAAGATTATTTAGGATCTTGACTTGATTGTGATGCTGAGATTTGAGATTTAAACAAAGTACGTCGTTGTCCGTAAATATAAAATCAAAGTCACACACGCTCACAAAACGGGATGAAGGTAAAAAAGATGTAAGTACATTTCTAAAATAATTATATCCGTAAGTGGTGTTTAGCCAGCATTTCTCTTCCAATACCTTATAGCCAGTTAAGTGACCTCAGCCACATTCTGTACCCAGCACTTCTCTCTCATAACCTCATGGCCAGCTAAGTAACCTCAG